GGTGAAGTAACAAAGCTCGCAGCCATGGGGCTTGTGTGTCATCCTTGAGCTCAATGCGGTGAAGGAGCATTAGAACGAGATTCTCGGCTCCAATTTCTTTGTCTTTGTGGAGCCAGTCTGTCATGATGCAGATGAAACTGGATTCGTCTTCCATAGAGTGTGACCACGAGTTTGACCACCCAGTCCCCCGGTCGGTCAGTAGCCATCGTGGCATTGGAATCAGTTTCCCGCAGATTTGAATAAATCCGCCGGTAACCTGTCCATATGGATCTCCAAGTCCAGTTCCGGTAGTGGCGTGCAATATAGCTGACTCTTCGACTAGGCATTTGCCACGGTATCTCATAATCGCCACTCCCGGAGACGCTGCCCAGGACCATGAAGGGGCAACGTAATTCCGCTCTCGAATACTCCGTATGTGAGCCTCAAGACCACGCGATTGCGTATCACTTCTGCTGTACCATGCCAAACCGCGGAGTAGATCACCCCTCCAGAGCCCGGCAAGATATCGATCGTCCAGTGTCTCACCTATCATGCGAGCAAGTCCTGCTATAGCTGGAAGGCGGTCCTTTTCGAACGTTACCGAGCGATCACCATAGTTTTGAACCAATAAGTCCCAATATTCGTACACTTCACTGGCGGATATGAGGTTGTCGTTGAACCTGGTGATTTTGTCTGAGACTCCCAATGTAAGCCTGCCTCCGCGAGCTCTGTCTTCAGACCATTGGTTTGTAGCACAATAGAAATGCATTCTCAAACTGCCGAAAAGTAGGAGTCGAGTCGACATTTCTCCTTCCTGAAACGTCCAGCATCTTTTGCCCCACTTGGATAAGGCATCATCCCACGTATACTTTGTCCGATCTATATAGATGCCTGTTCTCGGCCGAGGCACAATGAAGAAGGCGCCTTTGATAGCTTTTCGTATCATTGAATGGAAGGGGACTTTTACAACCGGAGCTCTATTGAGGAAGCTTTCGTGGCACGAATCCGAATTGAGGCTGCAAAACGTGACGAATGCGTGGCGATATACTAGATTCATTCGGGAGGACTCGCGGAGCCAATCACTTTGATCGTCTTGCACGATACAAAGAGCATCTATCCATATATAGCGAAGGCCAATTGCTCTCGTAAGCGCGATGGCGTCGTTGGTGGTCGCTGTCATGAGTTCGCTAGGCAGACTTACATACCTGTCTCCTAGAGATGCTTTCTCGGTTTTGGATTGTGATTCGGCGTCCTTCTCATCACCCCAGCAGTAGCTCAAGGCAGCGTATTTTGTTTGCTCAAATTTTCGGATGTCAGAGGGCAAAACCAAGCGGGGAATGTCAGACGCGTCATGACCGACGTCTATGAGCCTTGTAGGCACGAATGGAGATGAAGTATCGTGCGAACACTCTGTATCGCACCTCTCGAGCAACTTTCGCATTTTGTGTATGTTCGTGGGGTCCAAGTATGACGCATCACGCGCACACTCCACGCCTAACCACGCAGCACAATCTGTGGGCATGGTTAGTCTATACAATTTAAGATCCAATTATACAACATAGCTCACCGGATGTTGCTTCAATAGGGAAGATAGTTTGGATAGCATCGGGCCCGCAACTTGCTTCTACCATCATCCCTTCAATACGTCTATCACGTTCATCAAGTATCGCAAGATACGCTTGCAAATTCAGTGGACCAGCTGTAATGTGAGAGTATTTTGCCTCGCTTGCAAATGTTTCTTCTAGTGACCTGCGCAAAGCTTGACAGAATGCACAGCCGAGCTGAGAAGAACGAGATAGACGGGGCATGTCAGGCAGAACATCGTCAATCTTCCATTGGAGGCGAACCAGTCGATAATCGGGCGGCGTACGGTAGAAATCTTGTCTCTGGTGCCAATCTGAAGGACGCAATTCGATTCTCGATTCCGGAAAGCAAAGTTGCGCACCGCGAATTTCGTTAGTTGTTGCCTGGCCCCCAATTGCAGCATCGTTAAAGCTGAGAAGACTGCAGCGCTCACAGAGGGTTTCAGATCCGGGTGAATTGCTCATTGGCTCAGCTTTACACAATACCACCAGAAGGCAGGCAAGCGACCAGGAAGGAAGAGATGAGGAGTAAGTAAGATGCGCTCTCCTTCGAAGATTATGTGGCCAGACAGAATTGGAAGTGAAGAGGATAGGAGCCTAGTGGTGTCGTGGTGAGGCAGATGAGCGCTGTTTCCAAGTGTAGCCTTACCAGGCGGACAGTGCAGGTGAGATGATGTCATAATCAGGCTGTTCTTGTTGCCAGCCAGTTCGTTTGGCAGGCACCGACCAGGACGGCGAGCTAGAACAACTTGAACACTCCGTGCAATCCTACCATCATCCGCTGGCCCCGTCTAGAAATGTAAATAAAATTGATTCTATCTTGCATGGGTATATAAGTGTAAATGCCAAAGATATCGCCGTCGCCCGTTGTCGTATCGTATATCGTATAACCAGTGAGATCCCCGTTTACCGTCTCATGACCCATCATATCATGACTATATTCCTCAAAAAGCCAAAACCATAAATGCAAGGAAGCAAAAGTCGAACCATCATCAGTTCACGTCATACACAACATCTCCTCCCACCCCACCGTCCACCTCACACTCCCCATAACCACAACCAACAACCCCAACCCCGCACCCACACTCGCGCCCGCATAAACATACGCACTCCTCCTCCTCTTCGCCGTATCAATCTCCACAATCCACGTGCTAACCGTAGTCAAACAGCCACAGAACCCATCTTGTATGCCCTGGAGGACCGCACAGCCCACCACGCTACCTCCAACCAGCCCTGTATTGCTGAGGGGTACGTGTTGGAGATCGTACGCCATACCCAGTACCGCAGTACCGAAGATATTGACGGTGAAGGTGCCGAGCGGGAAGGAAGGTGCAATGGGATTGAGGAAGAGGGAGATGTAGTAGCGGAGGAGACAGCCTGCGGGCGCGAAGACGCATGCGAAAAGGGCTTGACTGCGCCAGGCTGAATAGGGTGGGAGGCACACCATGATGATTGCGCCGAACCATACGCCCCACCCTAGGATGACGAAGATGGGATCGCAAATGCGGCGTGTGAAGCGGAAGGGTAGGCTGGGCGTGAAGCGGTCGAGCGCGAGAGCGAGATGTGCGCCGATATGGAGGGCGCAGTAACATGTTGCTATGGTTATTATGATTGTGGCTAGGATGGCCATGACGGAGTATCCGCCGTTTCGCGGTACTGTGGTGGTCACAGATGGCGTAGATGTACCCGCAGGATAGGGATGGTTTATAGGGCTCTTGAGATCATTCGACAGCGCGAGGAAGATGTCGCGCATGAAACTCGAGAAGCTCGTGAACGAGCCACAGAACCCTGTCGCAAGACCAATATACATCGGTATCGTCTTCTTGATCTTCCCATGCCGCGCCTTGTGTTGCGAGTGTTCGATATCGTTGGCGGGATAATCGGTTGGTTCGGGGAGTTTCTCTTCGCCATCATTACTATTACTGCGACTCCCCCATTCGGCGGCGAAGAGACGGCGGTCTTCGGATAGAAACCCCATTATGAATGTGCCGGCGACATTAGCCCAGAGCTCAGAGAAGATGACCGGTGCGCCGGGGTAGAAAGTCAGGGCCTGTAGACCCAGACGAGCTAGCGTGCCCCATATGGAGAAGAAAATGAGGTAGGAGATGGTGTACAGCTCCGTGGCACATCTCGATGCTTTTTGTTGCCCAGGGGTGCGCTTGGAGCGCAGATAGTGCTCTGCGTCGGTGTGGTGATCATCGTAGTGGTGGGTGTGGTCGTGGCCGTCTTCTTGGACAGGCGACATGCTGGGCAGAGCCGTAATGTCTAGTTGAGACCCTGACGCAGCACCGGGCGCTACTCGTCCGAGTGGAAAAGAGGGTCTTCTCGATCGGTGTGGATGTGTTTGAGATGCCGGACTACCACCACCAGCATTCTCTCTCTGTGACGCCCTACTCTGCGCTCGCGTTCTGGGTGTGCGCAAAGGCGTGGGAAGATTGGGCGAGTGCGCGTTGTCGTTGTAGAGATGGAGCCACGAGTCTGCTCCTAGGAGGTCGTCGTCGTGCTTGCTCTCGCCGGCTCGTGAAGAGACTGTACTGAGCGAACGGTGCTTTCCGGCGTTTTTGTCCCACCGCTTCACGCTGCTGTACGAGTGATTCCGCTGTCGCGTATACGGCACATTGGGTGCAGGCGAGGCGGTCGAGGTAGGCGAGGGCAATGGCTCGCTATCCGCGTGCTCCGAGTGGACTCTCTCGAGGTCGAGGTTGAAGTCGTGCAGGCGGCGCAGGTCGCTGCGGGTTCGTGATCGCGGTTCCGGGCGGTGCGCTGACTCTTCGGAGAGCGTGGAAGAACGCAGCGACGAGCGCTGGTTGTTGAAATGCGACTCGCGCTTGGTGGGGACATCGTCGTCGTCGAGTGCAGCGTTGGCCATAGCTGCCGTCCTGGTCCCGTTTGTGCATGCAGCTTCGATGTGCAATGACGTGCGGGTCCCAAGATGAGCAGTCACCCGCAACTTTGTAGTGTATAATTTCAGCTCAAGACGCCGTGTGCAACTTGGAGTAACGCGCCATGCTGCTTTCTATGATGCCGGGACAAAAGTGGCGATGCCCAAGAATAAGACAGCACACGTATATCAGCCCTCCTTCGCGTCTCTCCTCCCTCCTGCGCCAAATAAGAAAAGGTCAAATCTCAGTAACCTTTGCTTATGCAGAGAATGGGACGAATGGCGCGCGCTTCCTTTTTCTCCGATTGGCAGGGGCTCCCCAGTCTAGCGGCACTGCACCTGCCGAGGCGTGACAAGGTTTCGTGTCACGGAGGCGCCCGACGCCATGGCATCTGTTATCGCCGGCATGTGGGGAGCTAGGCGTGACCACGCGCTTGTCTCATGCACCTTCTTGAATGGACAGTAGGTGTCAAGTTGAACACCGACTATATATTCCAGAATACCAAGACCTGCAATACTACTCTATCTTCTCTACGTAATTACACTGCGAATCCACCATGTCTGGCATCAACCTCCCCAAGAACGCCCACGTCTCAACACACCCATGTCTCCAGGCGAAGCTCTCACAGCTCCGATCCGTGAGCACAGGGTCCAAAGATGCGCAGACCCTGGTGCATGAACTCGCTCTCATGGTCGGTTATGAGGCACTGGCCGCTGGCCTAAAGGCACAAGAGGCAGGCATCGTACGTTCACCCATTCCATCACATTTACATTCACCCGGTCACATCATGTCACATAGTGGGGTGTATTCCACGACATATACATAGAAGGATTCCCATATCCCCAAATCACCCAGCCAACAACCATAGCAGCAATGCTATACCATACCATACCACCTGCTAACATGCCGTCTTCCAGGACAAATCCCCGCTCGGCTACGAATACACCACAACCACCACCTCCCCCTCACCGACCTCCATATCCCTCGTCCCCATCCTCCGCTCCGGCCTCTCCATGGTCCCCGCGCTCTCCTCCCTGCTACCCATGCCCGTACCCGTCCACCACCTCGGTCTCTACCGCGAGAAGTCCACCTTACAACCCGTAGAATACTACAACAACCTGCCCTACCACACTCCGCACGCAGCTGGCTCAACCAAGCCCCAACCAGAACTCGCCATCATCGTAGATCCCATCATCGCGACGGGTGCGACGGCACAGGCGGCGATTGACACGCTGAAGGACTGGGGTGTGAAGCGGATTATCGTCGTGGCTATTCTGGCGACCGAAGAGGGGCTGCAGAAGGCGTGCGGGGAGTGGGAAGAGGGGGTTGAGGTGTGGGTTGGTGGGTGCGATAAGGGGGTTGATGAGAAGGGCATGATTAAGCCCGGGCTGGGCGATATTGGCGACAGGCTGTTTTTGACGTTGGGGAAATAAGTAAATAAGGGATACAAATCATGATTGAATGTGATATGGAGCATCTATGGCGAATGAGTGCATTCTACAATGTGTTCCATGGGCTCCTCAATTGAGTCTCCTCTTCTGCATCATCGATTTAGAGTAATTCAAGGCTTCGGAAATGTTTTCCAGGCGACAGGTTCCATTGAATCAGTGAGGCCCAGGGCGGTTAGGGCTCAGAACCTTGAAGATCAGAGCATACGCCTTATCATTTGAGTTCAGCTGATGGTGGCGCCAGAGCCAGTTCCATTGTGGAGAAGCATAAAATGGCAAGCCTCGGGCGACGGTCCTGGCATCTTGTTCAACCCCCAGATCGAAATCACACTTGAAGTGACCTGTCCCCGCGGTCATTTGCTGAAGTAAAACTGGAAACTTCTCGTAGAAGTATCCGAGACCGCGTCGCTTTGAAAACCACTCGATTTGCGAACTATCCGAGTTTTCGGTCGTGAACATCAGGTTCATGGCCATTTGCCACGCGGCGTCGCGTTGTATAACGTTGTTGAACATATTGTGTGCGAGATGAGGATACAGAGCTGTGTCTCCTTTGAATACTAGAGTGCATACACCGGCCGGCATGCCGAGCGATTCCAAGGCGTCAGCCTCTATGATCCAGGGTGCGATCGCTTTCGTCACAGACTGACCTTCTGGTAACAAACGAGCAGTCCACCAGTCATCGAACGAAGGATCATTACTCCAGCCTGGCCAGATTCTCCGGTTACGTTTAGGCTTCTTTTTGCCCTCCTGTCTGCCTTCTCGCACATAAACTCGTCTCTCGTTACGCCAAGGGTATGGATGGTGACAAGCAGAAGCTGTTTTCCAGATGCTGACGCGTCGTTCGATGCGGAGTTTTGGCATATCGATGCAGAATGGTATCAAGCCTCGCATGTGGCACTCCGGATGCGCGATAGAAGTTCGGTTTTCAACAAGGCGGAGACGTTGGATCTGCTTCCGCAGGCCCTGGGGCAGGAAGTTGAGGAATCGTATTGCGATAGCTGCGGCCGAGAATGGGTACCTAATGGTATTGGGGTAATCGGTATTCTCCGTAGGAAATCCAGAGATAGACACGGTATGCATGAAGTCTCCGTTCGTAGGAATTGACCAAAGTTTGGACTGTAGATTGGTAAGATCCAAGAGGTTGCGACTTGGTGTCTGGCCGTCTGATGGTATTCGTAGGGCGTCGGTCCAGTCTACGTCGTCCGCCGCGAAGTCGGGATGCTTTGCCAGCACAGTCAACGTGTGCTGAATGAAGTCGCGATATATGGATGGTGCCTCTCCCCAGTCATAGCCCTTGGAGAACCATGTTCCATCGCGGTTCAAGCGCCAGGCAGAGAGTATGGGCTGAAACTGGGGATAGCATGCAGCTATCTCTTCCTCTCCGGCCTCCGATAGAAACCCACGGGCCATTTCATCGACGATATCCTCCTTGTAAAGTAAGATATGGCCTATGTCATCGACCCATTGATCGTCACTCTCGCGTGGCGTGTGCACGAAAGCAGCATGAAAAGTTAGATTGACTTCGAATGCGCGACAAAGTAGCTCCTCTAAGATGGTATGACAAGTGAAGCCGAGGGACATGTCGTTGGCTCCCTGGCTAGTGATAGTGAACTTGTGTGTCTTTGCGTCGTATGTGCTTTCAGTGTCCGGTAGGTAGGGCTCGTATACGATATCTCGAAGTTCTCGCGGTAAATCCATGAAGGATAGGTTAGGTCGTACTAGTCCGGTAAAGACATCCTGATCTGACGGTATAGTACGAGAGGGCGGGATAACAATGTTCTTGACGATGAACATGCAGGCCAGAGCTGAAGATTCTTCGAAGGCCATTGTGGTTTCGCCCGTAGGTGGGATGTTGATTGAAGTCCAGGTGAATGCTCGAAGGCTATGAGGGAACCCGGGAATTATACGATGAGAAGTGTTCCGAAGACACGTTGATCTAGTAACCGTGGCCGGAAGACGATCAGGTCGCAGTATGCAATGGTGTTATCATGGTTCGGTTGGGAGTGCTGCCTGGGAACACCCGCAGCTCGTGACCATACTCTCAGCGTATCACTGCGGCTTCTTGTTTAGCTCAAAGTATAATTCCCAGTGGTTTCTACATCCAGGATTGAATGCGCTTCCGCATTGTGTGCATTGGCTTCCGCTGTCCATGTATTCGGTAACGGTCAGCACATGCTTGCACTTCCCGCAAAGCACTGCGCTCTCATCTCTTCGTGTGTAGGGCCAGATATCAGACCCATGAGACTCGCATGCATCGTGGCAACTGATACATGCGTAGAACTTCTGGCAGCAAAAATGCTTGATGGCGATGATGTCAAGCGGGGAGTGCCAATGGGCGCATTGCGTTAGCGGTGTGACCGACAAGCCGTGAACAGTCGGAGAGTCTTGCATTTCGGATGACATTAGGGTACCGGCAATGGTCGTGTGGTGAAATGCGGTGCTAAGGCCGTGCATGTGAAGGATTTCAGCCGGCTGTGAGGCTGAGAGCTAAGAAGCGCTGCGGGATGATCAAGTGGGTGACCCCACTCTTTCGTCATCGCTTCATCCAGTCGGAAACACTAAGTAGAGTGATGGATACTGTAACGCGTCTTTTTCTTCTCGACACATATAGATTTGAAGCATACATCTTCAGATGTAAATGCCGCAATGCAACGGCATGGCTTCCGTAGCTACCTGGTATGGGGTCCCACAAGATGTATAATGAAACGTCGCGACACTTGCCAATTCGCTGAAGAGATTTCCTATTGGATCACCATCCCCATTGTTTTTCAGCGATGCTTCGCTCAAGCCCGAGTTTTGCCGGATGCTGTTACTGTACAGCACAGCTCAGAGCCCTCAGACGTCACTAGCCCCGCGTCACCCCACTAAGCTGTAAGAAGTGCTGCTCCTGCTCAACAACAACAACATTCCGTGCCTTCCTCATTCACAACACTCAATTACAATCCCACATCCTTATATATCCTAACACAACACCTTTTTCACGCAAACACAACCAAACCAACCGCAAACATGGCTCGTCAATTCTTCGTCGGCGGCAACTACAAGATGTGGGTACTTTCACAAGCTGTGAGTGCTTGGAGATGATGAAGAGAAGCTGACAAGTCTAAAGGAATGGCGACATTCAGACCATCAAGTCGCTCGTCGAGAACCTCAACAAGGCCCAGCTCGACCAGAACACAGGTACGTCGAAGGACCTTCCCAGCGATCCGAGAAAAGCGCAAAAATCCATCACACCATTGAGAGGACGAAACACTGACTCCAGAACCAGAGGTCGTCATCGCACCACCAGCGCTCTACCTCCTCCTCGCACGCGAGCACCTCCGCAAGGGTATTGAGGTCGCGGCGCAAAACGTCTTCGACAAGCCTAACGGTGCCTTCACCGGCGAGATCTCGGCTCAACAACTCAAGGACAGCGGCATCACCTGGGCTATCCTTGGTCACTCTGAGCGTCGCCAGATCCTGCAAGAGACCGACGACTTCGTCGCCAGCAAGACAAAGACTGCCATCGACAACGGTCTCAGTGTAATCCTGTGCTGCGGTGAGAGCCTTGAGCAGCGCGAGGCGGGCGAGACTGTCAACGTTGTCACCAAGCAGCTGAAGGCTGTCGCGGACAAGGTCAAGGACTGGAGCAAGATTGTCGTTGCCTACGAGCCCATCTGGTACGTTGAGCCTTCAAACCCTCAGACTTCGTAGTTACTAACACATAACAGGGCCATCGGTACCGGCAAGGTCGCAACCACCGAGCAAGCACAAGAAGTCCACGCCGCCCTCCGTGAGTGGCTCAAGAAGGAGGTCTCTGCCGAGGCTGCCGAGAAGACCCGTATCCTGTACGGTGGCAGTGTCTCAGAGAAGAACTGCGCGGAGCTTGCCAAGCAGGCCGACATTGACGGTTTCCTTGTCGGCGGTGCTAGCTTGAAGCCTGCCTTCGTTGACATCATCAACGCCAACCAGGCATGAATGCCTCGAAGCGATGCTCGTCTATAGTTGATTGGAGCGTGCTTCGGCAGCTAATGGTTATGATCTTATGAGATAAGAGAAGACTTGGCTAGGACTTGTGTAGATTCAGCAAAATGAACGTACATGAAGATCATCTGTATGGACTCTGAAGATTTCGTGATTTTTGCATTCTTGATACATTGTTTGTACAGTGTGTATGCATTTCCAGCCAGTATGTACCGCTACCATCTTCTTGGGCATGCCTGAAAAATGTCGGGTCCTTCCGCATTGGTGTCACAAAAGCAGAGCTTTGGCCGAGAGGCCACCACGCCTTGCCCGGACTCTCGCTGGATATCGTTGCGTATATTGTTCGTCTTCATCCGTCTTCCGTTCTTCATAAAGTGACTTTGCTGCCGTGGAACGGACTCCAAATACCCCTAACGTTCTCGTTCAGACTCTTCACTGGTCGTCCGTCCAGCCTCCTGTTCTTCTCTCCTGTGCTGTTCCTTAACATCTCTGCCTTTTCCCTCACACCCTCATTTTGCAGGTTCCTCACACATATTGACCGCTGAGCGCCGTTGATGTAGTTTGCGATAATTACGGGGTGGTGGCGTGGCCGCGGGCTGACGGAGATTTCGATCTGAGGGTTGCGCTTGGCGAAGGCGGGGAGAGAGGCTTTGAGAAAGGCGTTCATGCCTTTCGACGACCCCCACCAGTTACAGTAGTGGAAGGTGATGGACTTGCATGGTAGGACAAAGGCTCCTACGCCGTTCTGCGGTCGTAATTAGCATCCAGGATGACAAATGCGGGGACAGATGTATCAGTAGAGACATACCTGAGCCTTTGCGACCGTCTTGATAGCCGAGAGAGGCATGTTGGCGGGCAATTGCGGTGGTGACGGGTGCTTTCACCAATCTCAAAGTCCAAAGTCGGGCCCGGATCTCACGTGCGGTGGTCGCAGCCTAGGTTTGCGCTAGTGCGAACTCCGCGTCGCAGCTTCCTCGAACGCCCCAACTCCCAAACATCGACTTTCATCGTCGCGCCCTCCACTCCTCATATTCCAACTATTCCACATCGCCGTCTGGAGCGCATTCCAGAAACAAACTCGCAACCATGACGCATCTACTCCCCCCGATGCTGCTGAACCTATTCGCCCCGCGGCCGCCGCTGCGCTGGGTCGAGCCTTCCGACCACGCGCCTGAGAAGCGCTGCACGCCCAAGATTGGCGGCATTGGCCAGTACATGGAGGCGCTGAGGGAGTACAAAGATAACGACGGCTACGTGCCCACCGACAGCTGGCTGCAGAAGCGCGATCGCAAGAAGCTCGAAAAGAAGGAGAAACAGGAGTATCTGCTTACGGAAGGGGTCAAGGATTGTACGACATCACCACGCGCGCTCGTTCGCTTACGTGCGCAATTGTTATTTGCATCACTCACTAACATTATCTAGACAAACCCGTCGAAGATCCTAAAGTACAGGGCGACGCCTTCAAGACGCTTTTCGTTTCTCGCCTATCCTATGGCGTCACCTCCGATGACCTCGAGCGCGAATTCGGCCGCTACGGTCCCATCGAGCGCATTCGGATCGTTGAAGACGTCACCCAACCCGCCGACGCGCCACCCAAGAAGCGAAAGCGCGGCTATGCTTTTATCGTCTTCGAGCGCGAAAAGGACATGAAGGCTGCATACAAGGAGACAGATGGCATCAAGATCAAGGATCGACGTGTGCTTGTAGATGTCGAGCGCGGCCGCACAGTCTCTGGATGGCGCCCGCGTCGCTTCGGTGGCGGTCTCGGCGGACGAGGCTACACCAAGGGCCCGTCTGCTCGCGGGCCAAGCGGAGGAGGCAGCCAATTTGGAGGACCTCCAGCCGGCCCTGGTGGCTTCGGAGCCCGCGGCGGTGGCTTCGGTGGAGGTTTCGGCGGACGAGGTGGTGGCCGTGGCGGCTTTGGTGGCGGATTCGGGGGTGACCGAGGAGGCTTCGGCGGTGGACGAGGAGGTTTCGGTGGCCGCGGTCGAGGTGACTTTGGCGGTGGTCGCGGAGGTATCGGCTATCAGTCCAACGGCTACGGACCTCCCGATGGCGCGCCAGCTGGTCCTCGCGGTCCACGAGGCGGTGGCTTTGGCGGCGACCGAGGAGGCGGAGGTGGATTCGGAGGCGACCGCGGTGGAGGCGGAGGACGATACGAAGACCGACGCGGCGGCGGTGGTGGTGGCTACGACCGAGGATCCAGCGGCGCTAACAACGAACCGCTCGGCAGCAGAGATCGATACCGCGACCGCGACGGTGGGTACGGTGGTGGAGGCCGAGACGACGGCTCAAGGAAGCGCGGCTACGAAGGCGACAGCTACGACGACCGAAGCCAGCGCCGCAGATACTAGGCCCGCTCGATGGCTCACGTATCTTCTGCAAGGGTTTGTCAAAGGTTACCTCCCCTTTCTTCGCCTCACCCTTTCTCGGCTCTGAGGGTAAGATCGAGTTTGTTCTGCTCTTGACGTTCGACCATTCAACACAGCGTTACAGGTCAGGATGGTAAGGGTTGTCGACATGTTACCTCTAGGCTTTCGATCCGTCAACACATTCTCGGCGACTAGCACTCCACGTCTCGATCTCGACTCTTTGGTAAAGCAAAGGTACAGCGTCATCCTTCAGTCGACTACAGTCACGATCTTCATCACCCCAGGTTTTGCACAGGTTTGGTAGGCCGGAATGGGTAGGACAAGGTGAACTTTTCTCCCGCATGTTTTATTAGCTTTCTTTCTTTCTTTTCAAATTATCTTCTTTGCTCGCGGTTTTGCCTGGGTAGGTATTAATGTAAGTTACAAGCACGATGGTTCCAGTAGTGCAGCGACGTCAAGGTAAGGTTAACAGGTAAGGAGTTCCACTTCCTCGCTTGGTGATCTTACTGTGATGTGTTAGGTATAGAAAAGCATCATTTGCCACTAGTGCAGCACGTCCGAGTCCACGTCCGATGCCCCATATCCTGTGAACGGCTTTCACTATCGACACTGTAGTGGAATGAAAGACTTGATGCATGGTCTTATTCTCGATGAGGCCTGATGGTTCCCTTCTTTGCACTTGGACGGAGTATGCACGGACCGGTAGTGCTGCCTCCTGTAAGTGTTCTGCAGAACCTATATCAGTCTCGTGTTCGCCTTCTTTGTCTTGGTTCGCTACCCTTGGAGCACTCAACCCCGTTGTAGTGCATTGACTACCTGTAAAAAAACACCATGGCACCACTACGACGTTCAAATGGTGCTAGCAAACATGTGCTTCCAGACATGCTCAAAGATCCTACCATTGAAGCAAAATGCGTGATCGAGAGCATTCGTAAGCTCGCAAGTATACCAGATGATGACACGAAATCACAATGCTAACCAACACAGGCTGGATCACCGTCCCCCTTCCTCAGACTTCCAAGCGAACTACGCGTCGAGATTTACCACTACTGCCTTGTCGCATCCGAGGCTATCCAGCCTTATGGACAACAACTTCAAGACTGGCCCAACAACTGCTATTCCCATTGCCCTACGAGACTTTCGCTCAGTCTCCTCCGTACGTGCAAGGGTATGCACGCTGAGTGCGCGGAGGTGTTTTACGGTGAGAATGAATTCCGCTTCGCCGGCAAGTCCCAACACCTTGAGCTGCTCAAGTTCCTCACCGATATCGGTCCACACCATCGTATGTGGTTACGAAACTTGACAATGAACTCGCAGTTCGTCGGTAGTGGAGACCGGATAATCGAGTATAAGTTCAAGCTCGAATTCGAGTCCAGACAAACTGAGTCTGAGAAATCGTATTACAGTTGGTATTTCAACTATCAGATGATATACCCGCAGTCCCCTCCGCTTTCTCAAGCCCAGTGGTGCGAGATGACCTGGACCGACTTGTGCAAACCACTCTTCGACCTCCTCGAATCACTTCCTCAACTCCGTGTATTGACTATCGTGCTCCCGAATGACTGGGAATACTGCAACGATGCCGGAGACTACGTACCCTGGCCGCACACAATGGATTCTAGGAGGCGAGAAGAGATTTGGGATTCTCTGACTGGCCTTCTGTGTGTCAAGCCTTTCGTCCAAATACGGGCTGTGCGGCCTATGGCGGAGGGCTTTATGGATGATCCCGAATTCGCGGATGAGGAGCAGAATCGTGAGCGACATTTGGCGAACCTGAAGCGTAGACTGAGGATATGGGATAATCGTGTTGCTTTCTATGATTGGCATCAGGAGTGGAGGATGCCGGACCGGGTGGAAGAAGATCCTGATGAGTATCTCCGCGATTTGCGATGTCTTTTCGCCAAATGCGCATTCTAGTTAGCATCAAGAAAATGACGGTGGATACATTGAGCTTTTTGTCCTGCTCAGTCTATCATAAACTACGGGGCTCCACGGCTATCTAGTCAGCATGGGATGAGCGTTATGATTGATTGGTGTGTTGATAGCTATTAGTGGCAAAGATGGCAATTTACATTCATGACACTGAACTTCCATTTCGTCTTACTTATGAATGCATTGATGGGCACGTAAAACATCTGTGTATGGGGTACTCGAACAATGATAAATAATGGTATTGTATGGCAGAGGCTTGCGGCCAATCTTCGCTATGAAAATGGTAGAGTTAACTACGATTATTGGGAGGTAATGTGCTTTTGCGATCGTGCAACCAGCCGCATTGTCACTAAGCTTGACGCAGTGACGCATCAAAATCGCATCCACATTTTCAATCGCTTTGTATCGCCGCATGGGTAGTGAAATTAGCGCGTGGGACACCACGATGGCCGATTCTTAGGTTTGCTGATAAAGCCTGATGTATGATGCATCACCCGATACGCCAGCCATTCGGCAACCGACTCTCCCGTAAACTTGTCGGCAATCTTTTCAGGATCATGTGTTCTTCCCGGTAAAAAGTCGCAATGTATGATAGAATCCTGATTGACGATATCCAGTAAGATCTGTGAAATTGTTTCGTAGGTATATCCACGAGACAGTCTGCGCTTAGTCCAGGTCGATGTTGGCAGAATTTGGCGCTCGTAGCACAAGTCTGTAGCGATTTGCCATGCGACGTATTGCTGTAAGACATCAAAAATCTTACTGACTTCATCTGGCCCGGATTCGCTATCGATGAATGTCATCTTGAAGGCATTACTAGGCATACCCATAGAAGGAAGTGCCGTCGCTTCGACCATCCACTCTGCGATAGCTCGAGTTACCCGATCGTCGGGTATTATATTTCCTCCCCGATGAATCTTCCAAAGTACGTTCCACCAGAGATCGACGCGTCTATGGATACGCAATTCTTTGTTGTCCTGGCAGAATGGGACTAGTCCCCTTACATGACATTCTGGATATGAGATAGACTCGCGATCTTCGATCAGGTCAACTTGTCTAAGTTCTGAGCGTATTGATCTTGGAAGAGAATTCAAGAACCGGATGGCGCATGCAGCGGCGGAGATAATACACCTATCGACATCGGGCAAACTAGGGCGCGTGCTTCTATCAAATGCGATTCCTAGAAGCTCCTCGAGCGCTTTATCATCCGGCTCTTGCCAAGGCTCGAGATGCGGTAAACTTCGCACGTCGAAAGGTATGCTGGTGTGCGGGCTGTCCTCTAGAATCCGCAAAGCAAAATGAACGAAGTCGCGGTACACAGAAGGTGGCTCGCCGCAAGTGTAGTAAGTGTAGTCTTGGTATGACAACGGTACGATTGGGCCTTCTTGTCTCCACGCCCGCAGAAGAGGAGCAAATTGTGGATAAACAAGCCCTATCACTGCCTCCGTCTCGTCCGTCAAGCAAGACTGAGCTACCTCATTGAGCTGAAAGTGTTTCCTCAAATTCAACCTTTTCATAGCGATCTCAAGTGTCCCAATATTATGTCTTCTTGATGCACCCGCCCATGCGGTACGGAAGACGACTTTGTTGAGCCGTAAAGCGAGACCTTGCAGCTCGGCTGCAGCCTCGCGGCAAGTGTAAATCAGTGATAGATCGATGTGTTTGCCGTTGGTCCGAGTGAGTTTGTTTTTCCAGAAGTCGTATTCGAGTCCGGTTTCGCAAACGAGGTAATGGCCATAAATCTGATCTCGTAGTTCCCGCGGTAACCGAAAGAGGGGTGACTGTAGTTGCATGTGCTTTGGACGACTAGGCGAAGCCATGGCTATGGTTGCACAGCGTATGGTCCTGGGTGTCGGTGTTGGTGCATTGAAGAAATGCCCTCTGATGCGAGCGAACAGAGGTTCCTGGATGCGGGTGACGAGATATCTCTTGCTACGAATGAACAGAGGTCTTCTAATGTGGGTGAACAGGAGTCTTCTGATGAATGGGAACAGAATTATCCTCAAGAAGATGATTGTGCATTGTGTGATGAGGAATTCCCTGGTAAAGAAGGTACTCCAGGGTACGTTCATGAGCGTAGCTAAATGTTCGGCAATCATCCCTTCGTGAAACAGATGTGCAAGCTGGAAACTGATGACTTTCTTGACGGTAATGAGGATGATTAGTACAAAGCAAGTGGAGGTGGCGTCTGTTGCATTTAAGTAGCGAAGGCCGTTGAAACCCCATTGCACTCCGAAGATCACAACCACAGTTGCAAGATCAATTCTCCACTCGATCGTACCGCAATGTTAATGCGACTGTAGCTGGTTGTTGCCTGAAGGATCAAATCTGGTACGGTGCAGTAACAGCCGAGGACCCTTAGAGTCGCTAAGGTGATTGCATGCCTTCCCGTCGGCCTGCTCGCCTCGTGGTTACACGGTGAGACCGAGAGCAATACCCGCAATCGATGAATTATTCGTCGCACAGTATGCGACCCGTATCTGAATGAGTCTCCGTTGGTATGTGTCTTTTCGCGGAGGCAGCAACGATCTGTACGGAGGAGAAAATCGGTAGACCCACTTTCTCTTATCCATGCTGGCGTCTTTTCGGTACCCTACGGGCTTTGTTGTAATTACCATCATCGATACAGCACGTCTCTGATTCCGTGCTGCGCCTCCCAAAAATTTTGGAAGTTATCGTCGTTGCGGATATCGGTGCCACCGGTTCGCCAACGTAGCGGACTCAGCCAAGCTAACGCCTCTCGTTGCATAGTGTTGACCGTCCAGGCGGGCGTGCATGCACATGGAAATTTTGCTTGTTCTTTGGGGTTCATGTATCAGTGTCTTCGATATTTATTCGCCGAGATGATGTGCGTACATTGGATGCACCATGACTTGGCATGCTGAGCGTGAGATCGAGATGCGATAACCGCAAATCGTTAGCATATAGATCAAAGGAACCCTGGGAGAAGACATTCGCTCCCATAACCTGCTATGGGGACTAACACAACGCCACGGTCCCTGGATATGCTAGTCCGGGGCTTGAGAGACGCCCAACAGTGGTTGCACTGCCACGGTGCCCACGCAATGCAAACTTCCATCTAGTGGGGTCTGAGATCTGCGCAACGCTTACGAAGTCCAAGAGATGTGAGCGCCTAAAATGTATGGCGACATTTCATCGTGTAAGGACATAGCCCCATCGCAGGATATGCCAAGGAGGGAGTGGCGGCTCTGTCTGGAATTTGGCCTGCTCATAAGAGTTCCAACGAGACTCCCAGTCATCATCATCCCATCCGCGATGATCTTGGCCCAGCTTCTTGGGGCTGTACGGGGTACCAAGGCTGAAGTTGCATCGGATAGGCGCATCCTTTTTCGAAAGGTTTGAGACGACGTCTGGAAAGCACTCGGTGATGTACCCGGTTTTGAGCCGCCGCTCAGACCACGAGTGATGAGGAAGCGTGCCTCTTGTGTAAGCAATATCTAGGGCTACTTGCCAGGCAGCATCTCGTTGTACCACTTGAAAGGCACGTGAAGCTTGTTCTAGATTGGGTGCGCCGTTGAATATGTGGGTGAGCGACCCTTCCGGCATTCCAAGAGTTCCCAGCGCTTGCGCTTCCGTCATCCAAGAACCTATGGCATCACTGATTGTCGCAGAGATCAAGCGATCATCCCGCATAGTGTTCACATCGTCGCCATCCTGACTTCTTCTGATGTAGTCGTACATTGCTCTGGTTGACATGGGAAATGCGTTTCTCCACAGGTCGACGACACGCTCAAAGCAGAGTTCCTTGTGTGCCTGGCAAAAGGGAATCAGGCCTCGTGCATGACACTGTGGATACGCCACAGATGGACGGTCCTCAAGTAGAATGACTTTGCGCATCATTCCGCGGGTCGTTGCAGGAATCGATTGTAGGAAGCGGAGAGCTGCATGTACTGCAGAAAAGCAGTAACGGGTACTGGACCAATAATCCGGCCGCTCAGGCTCAACATTCACGATGTCCGCGAGTCGTTCCATTTCGACGATATCGGGAACTGACCAGGGTTCTACGTAAGCATTTCTTAACCCGGGTACCTTGCATCCTTTACGCCTTGTACAAGATTCATGAGTTGCCTCCAATTCTTGGAGGAACCTAGGATGCTTTGAAAGTAAAGATAAGATGAGCTGCATGAAGTCTTCCCACACCGAACGGGCTTCACCGCCAGTGAAGTCCCAATTGCGTAGCGCGTTGATACTTCTTCCAGGCTCCCACTCGTCAAAGATTTGTTCAAATTGTGGAAAAGCTTGACTAGCTTCCTGTGCCATGTCTTCTGTAAGCAGAAGTGGTATCAAATGCCGTATCAACCCTCTTTTCGCGAGTGAGATGCTTTCCACGGTGCTATGAAAGACGCCCGCATCTTTATTTGTTGACTCCGAGAAATACGTAGAGAACGTGATTGTATTGTAGCTAAAGGGAAGGCCACGAAGCTCGGAAGCAATTTGTCGACAGGATGCGGTAAGGGCGATAGAGACGGGGCGACCATCGGCTTCTCGGAGTTTGTTCGATGCATAGTCGTAGGTGTAACCGCCTTCGATCCGAATGTAATATTCATAAATGAGATCCCGAAGCTCGCGTGGCAGACGGAGGATGGCAGGCCGTACAGTTGGGTTGGGCGGTTGGACATCATCCTTGGAGCTGGGCAGGGCTACACCTTCCGTAGCGGGCATCCTGGCCGCTTGTCTTGGCTGAACCATCGATGATGAGGAGTTGCATCAACTGCAGGTGCGTCGTGGATGCTAAGAAGACTTTCGCGACCCTACATCGAGCGCCGGTGTTATGCGGGGTGATGCGACAGCTTTTGCGACTCGGTGGCCACGTAACAGTCCAGTAGGTTGCTGTCGCGTAAGACCGTGTCGGGCAAGCGCGAACGCGAACAAATGATGAGGTACCCACGATCGGGTGGTGACGAGGTGAAGTTCCCAGCGGGAACCCGCTGCGGCTTTTAGCAACCCATACCTAGCGTCATCGC